TATTTGAGAGATTATATAATAGGGTGGTGGGTAATTAATTTCGTCCCGTTACGAAACCATTTCGTTGTGGTTTGTAACAGTTAGATCAACTATCCCCGACGATTACATGATGATCTAACGGTTATATATCCCAACAGAATGATTCCGTAACGAGACCGTAGCATTTCCCTTAATTTCTATATATTAATAAATCTTATATGTATGTTTGTTTTATCACCATTAATAAAATATATCTCCAAAAGCATGTTTGTGTACCAACCAATATTGAGACATGTATACCTCCGTGGTAAGATTAAATTCCAAAATTTATAAATAAGTATATACATAGAAAAATGTATAAAATAATTAATAAGATCCAAAGCCGACTTTCACCTTACTTTATAATTGCAAAAGTCCCAATATTTGTTGACTTGGTACGATCTTTCTCATTTGTTAGTAGAATCCATCCTAATATATAAATAAATGTAAAGTTTTTTTTTTTTAAAAAAAAAAAAAAGTATGTGTCAACTTCGTGCTTGGTAATTATATTTGTTGACTTATTATAGTTCCGATATCATATATGTTAATTTATGAATTTTTAAATCTTATATAATAAGGATTAACATAATTCACTTTTAGAAACGCTTTCTTGCCAATTACATTAATTATTGTCTAAACATAGTAAATTAATAAAATCGCTATTTATTAGAATATCTGTTTTTCTGATTTTTTTTAGAAATACAATAAAAAATATGGAATCAAAATCCAAATAAATCTCCTATTTTTATGGTTGGATATAATCTCCTCTTTTGAAGGTCGTATATCCTGCGTTTATTAAGAAGTCTGCCAATAAAAAGATTAAGCTAAATCGGTTAGCAGATTCGTTGATTACATTTCAAAATGAGATTAACCTTTTATTTTTGGTTAAATTTTTTAAATGATTTTCGAGAAGTAGATTGAATTTTTAAGTAATTGCTTTTGAAAAAAATCTTATAGTTGATCTTTTTTTTTATGTCATAGCGATTTTTGTGGTCAAATTTTAATTTACATGGTGTGCTATTCATATTTATCATTTGGAAAACTGTTTGCTATTCATATTATGAATTGAAAAACTAAATCTATTGTATAATGAAACAAACTAATTTCAAAATCACATTTTTGATCGATGTTAAAAATGAAACTGTTAAAATAAAATAGATAATCACAAATCCATATTATCACAAGTCAATACATAATTAAATATAATTTCATATTCATAAATTATAATTAATATATATTTTACGGGTAGAAACATGTGTATATGGTGCTACGGTAAAATATTCATATTTATTTACACATAAAATAATCTTTGTATTTATTTGGGAAACGTTTAAGAAAAAAAATATTTCACACGTATATATTTGTAATCTTTACAAATATAATCTTTACTTCATGAGTACGTGAAATATTTATATTTATAAATATTTGCGTGTAATATTTACAAATATTACACAATAATTTACAAAATTATAAATTTTACATGGTAGATATAAATATTGTTAGCATAAATAATTAATCGTGAAAGTCCTATTCTCATTAAATCGCCAGAGTTATATAATAATATTATATTATAATTTTATTTCGTGGTGTTAACAATCCGAAAATCAACAAATAATTAGAGAAATGAAGTGTCTATGCAATTAGCAATTACTATAAATATCGATCTACAGTTGTCAAGTGCAAAATAATTTGCATGGAAAAACAAGAAGGATCTTAACAATGTATGACTTTTTCATGATGAACATTTTCTGATTACCTGACAAATGCCCTACGATATTATAACTTATTGATTAATATTAGCCTTTGATTATAAATTTTACCAAAACAAATACAGTTTGTGCATCGCACGGGGTTACGTACTAGTTATAAATAACTGGACTAGCTGAAATTATAGCTATATTTAAAAGATAATAACTTCAGTATTTATTTATCATATTTTCATATGCAACTAGTACGTACCCCGTGCGATGTAAGAGACAGAAATATTAAATGAGTTATTTTCACATGTTTTAATTTGTCCGTTTAAATATATAAAGCAATAGGATTATCATCTATTTTTCATCTCTTTTAATCAGCGTTAAGTATAATAAACAACTGGCTCTGTTAGGGATCCAACAGGTGGCTCCCTAGCATTACTAATAATAAACAATAAGGTTATAATATATTTTGCACCTCTTTTAATCAACGTTATTTTTTTAGTCAGAATATTAAAATAATTAATATATTATTTCACTAACACATTTATCCTAATTTAAATTTGATTTTAGTATATATATTTATTCATTGATATAAGAGAGAATAACAATTTTACTTATTCTTGTTCACCATGTAATACATAATTATTATTTTATTATACACTTTATGTCATATAATGTCATTATCATTTATAAAGTTGTAGAAGTTGTACGTCTTCTTTTTATTTTCATTTTATGTAATAAAAATATTTAATGCACATTGGTATTATTTATTTATGTAATCATTTAAATATGTAAATAAATTTAATATTAAATAGTGTATAAATATTTTACAAAATATACACATGTTTTTTACAATTTAATTTTGTATACTAATTAAACAACTTTGATTTAGAAAATCCCAAAAACTTGTCCCTCTACGATCAAGATTTTTCTAATTCACATTATAAGGATTTGTGGTTTATTTAGCGTACTCAACAATGAAAATATATTTTTAATTATAGAAATAAATCAAAATAGAAAAAAATAAAAAATATAATCATGGATGCCAATAATATACAAATGAATTCTAAACAATAGTTACTATGTTTCAATTTTAATTTTGTACTATTAGTAAAATTATTTATTGTATCTGGTCATTATCTCTTAAATGGTAAATTATATTAATTTCAAGAACGATTTATTTTTTATATTTAACAAAATAAAGCTTAAGAACCAAAAATATTGGTAAAGATTAATTTACCAACTTGATTTTGTCTGATTACTTGGAAAAAAAATTCTACCTAACCTGCTACGATTTTCCATAAATATTTTTGGATAAAAGTGAATATTTGTGAAAAAAAAACTGATATTATGGTTAGAGTTTAAAATATTGTTTAATATTATCTTGACCAAAAGATTATCAACATGCATCACAGAAATCAATCTTGTAATTTATTATAATGAATATCAATGAAAGTATTATAAATATTAATAAAATAATATTTATCTTGACCAAAATATTATCAACATGAATCACGAAGATCAATCTTGTAATTTATTATAATAAATATCAATAAAAATACTGCATATATTAATAAATTTATTTAAGTAATTATTTGATCATATTTAATTTGATCTTATTTAAAAACGTGTAAATAGAAGCAATTAATGCAAATATTTAAAAAAATTCCAAAAATAGTATGCATTAAATGTTTCCTAAAATTTTGCTACTATTTTTAGTAAATGGTAATTCTTTATATATATATATATA